CAATAAAAATATAATAAATGTATTATTTAATAGTTTTTTGAGGTTATGTCTTGTGACACGTAATTTTTAACGTTAAAATCAACTTTGTCAAACTATTTGATATAGAAAATGTAAATTTTGTCGATTATAATGTCAATGTTATTAATCTGGCTACAAAAATCATCTCACGTATAATTCAAATGTGATTAATACCCTTAAATGTATAATTTTTGTCCAATATCGTATATCTTTATGTGTCCTATATGCGCTTAAAACCACCAACTAAAAGACTGTCTGAGAATCATTGAATATTGTATTAATTCTCACAATTATAATAAAACAACTAATAGCCCTGTTTCAGCCAATCATACTGCACTTAATACAGAATGTCACGTATAGAAATCAACTCTTTCTAAATTTAAATCAAACATCCTTTCCAATATGTAGCCATCACAGAAGGTACATAACGACTCAAAATCACCAAATTCAACTTCTGTTACTATTTACTACCAAAACGTACAAGGTATTTGAACAAAAATTCAAGATCTTTGTATCACTTCTGCTACCTCGGTACAATATGACATAATAGCTCTCACTGAAACCTGGTTCGTTGATTTAATCGGTGAAAAAGCTAGATAAACCAAAACTAGGCCAAAAATATTTTTTATTTAGAAAAATCTCAAAAAGTATTTATTTCACGGAAAACAATCGTTAAATTTTGAAGTTTTAAGTAATGACGCTAAATAGGTTTAAAATTATAGAAATTTATTATAAAACAGATGAAAAAGCTAGATAGACCACTCAACACTCAACAGATTTTCTACTCCACTGGGATATTTACGAATTGATCAATTCAGAGCTCCCGTCATCTGCAGGCGCTTGGACCATTGCTTACCAAATTTCAAGACTTTTTCTACATTTGTCGTTGTTCGTTTTTTATGTCAACTTAAAATTTTGATAAAATATACATAGGATATTTCACCGAGACAACAACGATATTTAAAATTATCAAATTTATTACTCACATCATGTCACAACACTCAAAATACGAATTTATCTCCTTGTTGTTTGAAAACCAGACATTGAATTAGCGTAAAAAAACGAAAAAAATCGTAAAATATAAAATATACGATTCTCATTTATGTTATTTCTATTTTTACGACTACATATAGATACAAAGTAACAAAAACAACATGAAATAAATACCGTTTAGCATGACATTATATAGTTTGATACAAACTTAGCGCGGAAACACTGTTCACTCCATCATAAAGGCCTTGTCCTGGCTAAACTTTATTTTAAATTCTAACTACCTCCGAGCCATGAAGTGCAACTTCCTACTGTTATGAATAATGGAGGTTCGTTAAAATTACACATGTGCCTTCCGCGTCACGGCTCTGACAGTTTTCTACGAAATAGGTCATACAAGGGCTAGCCTGGTCGTTATACCCCTTCACAACATCGTTTCTTTGACAAGGAATGTCTTTGCAAGTGTAACAAGTTGAAAGTTTAAAGGATATACTGAGTTAGATTGTTCTGTTAGTGTTACAGTTTTGTGTGAGTTTCAAACTCAAATATTTCATCTAAAGTTTTTAGACTTTTTGTACGTGTTTGTTTCTAAATGTTTGTCTTCATTTTAAAAATATAAAAATAATAAATACAGTGATGGTTCCTGGTTAAATTCTATATGGAATTTAAGATAAATATTTGTTATTAAAAAATATTTGTATTAACAGATTTTATGAAGTCATTAAGCCAGCGTCTCTTAACCTATAGGGCATGGGAGGGGGGGGGGACGCCATCATATAAAAAAAAAACGATAATTACAAATAAAAAAAATTAATTCACAAAAATAAATGCAAAATAATATTTATTCTTATTATAAAAAATTAAGTATTCTATAGTACACGTTTAAACTAATATGCTTTTTGATTATTATAAATATGATTGTATCAGAAGATACTCTCAAATGCCAAATAAAACTAATAATAAACTCATCATTACTAGTAATGAGCATAATCGAATAAACGTGATAATCGAATATTCAGATGATTGTATGCGAATTATATCATTCAAATGATTTATCACATGCCATCATCAATGATTGGGTAGTTTAGGATCAATGCGTCAAAAGTTATTATATTGACAGTTAACTACCCAATCAAAACGCAGTACACCAAAGTCTAAAACGTCATACGTCAATATTTACTTTTAGTTTTCATGCAACCGTTTCGACTTACGGCGCCAGCGCGCAGCTTACTGATTGGAGTGATTGGGTGATTCCCCGACTTGACAGGTATCTATTTAATCAGAATGCTGTAGGCTAAAAGCCAATACGCAAAAACGTTGCATTTGTTTATCCTGAGGAAAATAAGGCGTATTTTTATACTCGAGAGAAATTATTTTTCTCAAGATTTTTACAAGAAATTTCATGTCAGTATGAAAACAGTATTTTGAAAGCCAGTAAGATTTAAAAAATATTTTAATTCTTCGGAAAAAACAAAGAGAATCCGAGAGTAACAGTTAGTTGGATTTCTCATGCAAATATTAAGACAAAAATAGGTACCCTGCGGGGTATTTTCAAACTCGAGAGAAAGTAAATTATCTCAAGATTTTCATGATAAATCTCATACGTTAACGTGAAAACAGTAGGCATTTTAAAAGCCAATGAGAATTAAAATGAATAGGAGAGTTTGGATCCTCTCGAAATAAAGCGAGAGAAAAATCAGTGAGTTCTCATTGGACTTAAAAATACCGTTTTCAAATTGACTTATGACATTTCTTAAGAAAATCTTGAGAGAAATGTGTTCTTCCAAGTTTAAAGTCACTCTTGTTCGTTTATTACAATTTAAGACATTTAAACTAATTCGAATAATATTGGTATGATCGAATATTCGAATAATTTATCATTCGAATAATCACATCTTTAATCATTACTCTAATTGAGACTCTCAGACGTTGAAGAGGTGATACTGCAGTGATCAACCAGTGCATCTGTTCATCTTATTGTCTTATTTAATTTAGTTTTAACCCTGGTAAATGGGTTCTTATTTATATCATGTAGTAAAATAACTTCAGTGTCTACAAATTGTAAGTACTTTACATATTTCAATACAACGCTTCATTCATCCAAAGTTCAGCGAATGCCATTTTGGAATATCAAGAGCCAGCCCCAATAAATTATAGGGTTACCGGTTCAGTTTGTTCTCATAATTGTTTGATTTTGATTTTACATGTTACAATATTATGTACTTTTAGTTAGCAATTCCGTGTTGTCAATCGCTTTTACATTAAAACATTTTATAACTCGCGGGATTAGGAGACATTTATAACAATTTTTTTATTTTATGACATTTCGTTCCCGTTCGACGCAACATACTTTATAAAATAAAAAATTTTCTACAGGAAGGTTCTTCATTTATTTAAATACGTTAATATTTACACCCCTCAAATTGTGATGTCAGTCACTGATTCTACAACGCTTTCACCTATTCTAACCATTGTTTCCTATCGCTTAAAAAGCACTTCCTAAATGCTACCAGATGTAGGGAGAAATTAAATCTAACTGCTTATATGTACTTTTTTGAACTGAACCAGCAATCTCCATCTTTTGATTTCTCCTACAAGTTCTGTTGCTTTGAGTTCTATAGGTTTGCAGAAAAGTAGTTCTTCTTCTGCTGATATACCATCACAAAATCGGGACATAGGCATTTAAATGCGAGTTTTTATTGATATCTATTGACTCGTCAAACTGAATTCAAAATTATTTGTCAAGAAGCTGATGCTGTACATCTTCGGCTATAACACCAATTCGGCGGACAACAGAGTATCATTTGAAAGAGGTATAAAGTCTTCAACAATGGTGTGAGTCTTTTTACATCTGGCTATTTAATATGATAAGTAAAGCTTTATCGTTCACAGATGAAGTTTTTTTGAAAAATAATGTTTGCTCTTCAAATGACTACTTTTATTTCAAAGAATTCTCTGGGCTTGTTAACCTTCTCACTATGAAGTGTTTCCAAATGGCGTGTAGGTGTGTTATTACAGCTGTACCTACAATAATTTATTATTTAAAGAACAAAACAAAGTTTCTGTATGTAGCTTTCATAATTTATCTCAGAAAAACAGTGTATCTAATGTAAACAAGAAAAATGATTAAAATTTTAAACAACAATAACCAAACTCTCACTTTTTTATGGCGGTGAAGCATTCTTAATTAAAAAATTAAATAAAACCTGAAATTTAATCAGTTGAAATGAGATTTTAAGGTGCTGTTGAAACGAGGGCAGAAACTGGAGATCCTTTGATGTAAATTATTAAAAGAATAATACATTAAAAGCAAACAATTTGGGTGATTAAAAATCAATTTTTGTAAAGATTTATGAATAGTATTAGTTATTATTAAATAAATAGTATAGTATTTGGTGGGTGAGGTTTTCCGGGTTTTCCTCACCTGTAAGTCAAATGGCACCATCAATCATCTTTAAGTCGCCCCGGAGCGCCACGGCAAATAATAATAATAGCCGTCCCTTTCCCCGGACAAGCTCAACTTTTGGGGTTAAAATTCACTCGTAAGGGGGTGAATTAGGGAGAGTATTATTATTATTATTATTATTATTTAAGTAACATTGATTTGTTTAATATTTTTTGTCGCTATTTTTGGTTTAACTAATACCTACTTGATAGATGACAGTTTTGTTGTGTATTTTTTGTATTCGTTTTATTTATTTACTTGATTTATTTGAAATTAATTAGGTATTGTTCTGAATGTTGCATCTCAGGTAACAGTATTGCAATACCATATAATTAATTCAACCAGAAAATTGTATACTATAGTTAAATTTTGCTTTGTTAATATTTCACACATTTCATAAAATTTGTGTATTAAAATTCGTGTTATTTTTGTTATATATCCAATATGCTCAGACTGATCTAATAGCTATTACTCCACGATAGTTTACTGATATTACAATTAGATTTTATATAACGTTTTAAAAATGAAATAAACAGATATTACTTACAGTGTTAGCAGGATCATCAGGAGAACGAATAAAGGACTTTACGGTAGCCCAAATTAGAACAAATATCATTGGCATTCCTGCAAATAAAAATAAAATTATACTTATAAAAAAAGAGTTTCTAATTGTTTTACTATATGCAAAAATTATTTGTTGATGCTCTAGATAATAAAATTAAATCAAAATTTCTGATTTTCTCGAATTGATTACATAACAAATCAAATGCTCGGTAATATCTGTATGATATATGATTATATACTAATATACTTTGTTCGTTGCATCTGTTGGGCGAGTGCTAGTTGAAAGTGGAACCTAACTTAACTGTATATATTCATTGCAATTCAAATTTGGTGATAACTTGTTAAATCCTACACTGAAAACTTATTTTTTTTTATACAAAAAGACATTTTTAAGAAATATTATTGTATCCATGTAATATTTGATCACTTTTAAGGTTTCTTGCAATTAAATTAGATATTTTTTTAGTAGATATTAGATTTGCGATGTTTTTTCACACACTGTTCTCTTTTTATTCCGGAAAGGAACTTTCAATATAAACAGAGAGCTTGACAATGCTTACACAGCAAAAATTAAACACTTTTATAATATCATATAGCAAAAAAACGAAATTGAATTTTAACACCTTGCTACCGATTATGTACATAATAAAATGAAACTTACCCCAACCTATGAAGGCGTATACCCTCAATTTAAAATTCTCTCTGGTTAGAGTCTCCACGACGAGAATATAAAGGTAGAGACCTGGAAAACAACAAACTTTAATTAGTAATTACGTTCTTTGTTTCAATTGGAATTCATTTAAAGTCCTGGGCACTTTATTTCCCATCAACTGGCAATTCGAGTAAGGAAATTGCGTTTTTAAATTACAATCAAGTAAGTGTCTTTACTGGCTTTGAAAGATTTTAACCGTTTGAGCTCAATTTCGTTGGAAAGAGATATTTCTGAATTAACCAATTTTAGGAGAACTGACATAAATATAACATTAAAAGGTTTGAATACAACAATGATTTTAATACGATGTTTATGTAATTTAAAATAATGTTGAGCAGGGTTCGGAGGATATATATCAAGTGATATATACATCATGATATATATCACGATATATATCATGATATTTATACCTTGATATATATCCGATAGATTCGATAATTTTATTTATTAAATTAAAAATGTTTTCCACTATTCTAAACATCCGCAAATGTCTCAATACGCCCCTGTATAAAAGTATAATAAGTAGCGATTTATATGTGTTTGTGTTAAAATATTAATGTTACTAAAATAATGATAACATCTGTTTATTTTATTAATTATTTTTGTTTTTCTTTTTAATTTGAGTTAGAATAAACGATTTTGTTGTTTAGAATATAGGTTTTTGTTAGTATGTTTGTGTTAAAATTTAAAATATAGTTTGTGCAAGAAACAATTCTGTTTTTTAATGAAATAATTAAATTTTATAAATGATATATATCAGATATATATCGTGTGATATGATATTTATATAAATATCATATTTTCGAACCCTGATGTTGAGTATCTATCGTCTTGGCCTGGTAAAAGGTAATGATGTAGTGTATAGTGGTAAGGGAGTGTGATTGACGGCTATACATTTAGAAATTTATCATCAACAAAGACGGCAAATTTAATTTGTTTAAACAACCATTAGTTGTAAAACAATGCGAAACTATCACACAATTTATCTATTTTTAATATCATATTTAAATTTTAAAAAGAACATTGCTAAGAAACATTCTTTCTAGAAACATTGACAAAATAACCATTCCCACACAATAACAGTATGACTTTTATTAATGTGAAAAGCGTGACTAGCCTTTGCACCCTAACAACTTTTTAAATATATTTCTTCCGAGCTTTACAAACGGCTCCAAATTTACACATGTTTCATTTCGTAAGATAAATTCCCCAGGATTCGAGGATAGATCAGTCGGTAACAAAAGACGAGCGTGATGTATAACGCCCTTAGACATTGAGAAATGCCGCAAATATAGAAACTATTTACGCTGCCAAAACTGAACCAGTCGAATTAGGGGAGAAGGCTGACGGTTCGGGACATTTTACAGGGTTGTCTTCAATTTTGACTCGACCGTTTGACTGGTTTTTTTATACCTTCTAGACTTAAACGTTTATTTAGATTCATTGGAATTCATATTCATGGAAATTTCTAGTTAAATGGATCTGGAAATAAAAGATTGTAACAAGCATCTAGAAACTTCGTGATTAATAAAGTTGAGAATCAGTATCCTTCTAATTTTAATTACTAATTAAACAGTGTAACTGAGTTAAAGATTTTGCTATTGTTTTGTTAAATTATTTTGTATTATTAATAAATTTCTGCACATATTTATAATGTGACTAGATCCATTGAAGATCCCACATACTCTTAAATATTCTTGTACATCAATAGACCAAATTTTTGATAGCAGAACCAATAGAACATGTTCTGTAATTCATAATACTTTTTATCAAAAATATTAATAAGTTTTTATCTGATAAAAAATGAACTAAATCGACTACTATGAGAAGAAAATTTAATAAAGTAAGTAAAAATTTCTTTATTCAAACATTGATATCGGATGACTGGTTAAACCTATATAGCTTCCAAGACTTCAATTTACCGTTTGATTATTTTAATTATTCTCTTTAACATACACTTGGCAAATAAAATGAAGCAATTACCAAAACATAGTTAAAAAAATGGACTAGTAATGTTAATAATTAATAAGTGCATGCATAATAACTTTTTGTTCAAGAACAATCATTTCTTAAATTAATAGATCAATATATTAATAAATCTAACATTCAGAACAGACTTTTTGCCTAAACGCCTTAAAACTAGAAAAGTGACACTTACATATTTATAAAAAAATGCCAAAATCACTTTCTATCAAATGCGGTTTTTAGGAACCTTTAATACATTTTTTTTATGACATTCTATCTCATAATGAACATAGCTTTAGATCCAAAAAAACAACATTAGCCGAATATTTTTTTAAAGATATCATTAAATATTCCCCTGGGTTAATTGTTAATTGTTAATTGTTAATTGTTACAAGATGTTTACCAGTATCCAGTTTAAGGAATCTAAGCGGATAGAGGCATTAAACACGTGTAGCGAATTTGGACATACAGGCGACTGATATCTAATTACGGTGAGGCCCTTATCAGTAATGGATTCAAGGCGTTTAACTTTACGGAGTATAAGGGATTTTTAAAGAATACCGGAGGCGTCAAAATGTGTTGAAGGCGGTGGCAACACCTAGGCGAGCAGTCAGGTAGACGGACCCACTAGAACAATTTTTAAAGCTTTATATTTATCTATAGAAACCAAAGGTCGGTGGAAAAAAAGCTGCCGGATATTGTGTGGAGCTTTAACTATACGATTAGTGCTGGCTTTTCTACATATTTAGTGCTGGTTTGTAATGAGCTCCCAAACCTAGAGAAGGCTGTGGTGTCCGGACCATGCCCGGTTCTCTCTGACAAAATCTGCACGTGAAGAACAAAGCGCTTCGATTAAGGTAGAAATGTTGCACTTACTAATAAGGCGGACGACTTGGTGATATGGCGGAGTGCGACTACCAAAAAGGCGAACGTTGGCGTTCGTAGTAAATTACCGAATAAACTTGATGGACCTTATATAGTAGGTAAGGTATTGCAAAATAATCATTATTTAATTGAGGCGTGCAATAAATTAGCGAATATATTTTATGATCCTTGTAACGTTTATATGAAGTTTGAAGGCGTTAGAGAGTAGAGGCGGTTATTGCTGTACTTTCTAAGGCGTTACCACAGCGTAAATGATGTGAAATATGAATCTGTTACTAAAGATGAATGGTGTGGCGAAAATTTTAAAAGTGAATTCGATGGCGGTTGAACTTCATTTTCACTCTGTTGGTATAAATTAATGAGGACATTTAATTATGCAGGATGGCCGAGTGTTACGCTCCAAGCGAGAACAATAGTTCCCAACTCTCAATAACGGCGGTACCATAGATACCAGCATTGCGGAGCTCTAGGCGCGAGTCCTGAGAAACGTGACGTATGTGATAGCTGGACGAGTCCATGAAGTATTCTATACGAGACGGTGGTAAGAAACTCATCGGCGATATATTTATGCGATTATTACTTATTTGTTGTTTATTAGTGAATATATTATTTATAAATTCTAGTTCGGTGTTTTCTTGAACACAAACTAGGCATAATAAAAATCCTTTGATGAATAGCAACGCGAAGCTATAATGATACACCGTGTAGGAAATATATTTAGCTGGCAGCATAACAACAGGTTATAATGGCGGGAAAGTTCCAAACAATGTTCAGCGAAACTTTTGTATTCGCAGTCACATTCCATTGATTAAAGCAGTATTGATAGTGAAATTAAAGGAGAGGGTATATAAGCACCAGTATTTGAGGTTCAATCGTCTGTAATGTATGATTAAAGGAAAGGAAATTATAGGATAATTACAATGTATTTGTTTTAATTAAAATACCCGTACATTTAATTAATATAACATGTTTGTGGAATTGAATTTAATCAAAGAAAGTTAATTGACCTTTATTCTATTAGTATATCTAGAGCTACATTTGTATTATTTATAGTGAATTATTACTGAAAATTTATACTATATCTACTAGGCTATCGAGTGTAGAACGGATTTAGGCTTGAAATTCTACCAAAGATTTACTTAAACCTATAAGGGGGTGGTTCGCCACCCTTATAGTAATATGCGTGGATTTTATATATTTATCTCTAGATTCTTTTGGTAATCTTGCTAGGATATTATCAATGTTAGTATAAGGAAAGAATTTAATACTGTGACATATTTAAATATTAAAAGTGAAAACAATTTAATAAAACAAAAATAATCCAATTAAGTATATATATTAAACGATAATAATATAATGTCCTGCGATCGCTTGAAGTCGACTCTGTTCTTCGACCTTCACAGCACCGTAGAGTCTTGTGTTGGCCATCGAGACACGACTGATGATCGAGACATTGATGAATTTTTCTAAATCTACTGGGTCCATTCTACCTACCAGTTGCCAAACTTCAAGTCTAAGTTAGAAAATAGTTTACTTTCCACTAATGTGTTGAGTGTATCGTCGATTCGAGAGAGAGAATAACTGTCTTTATTGGTAACATTGTTCAAACAGTAAGCTTCACATAACCTCGTATTTTCATCCTTTTTCTGGACGAGGACTACAGGAGAGACCCATGACCTGGTACAAGGTTCTATCACCCTGTATTCTTCAATTTTCCAAACAATCCTTTCAGCTTCCTCTCTCTTGGCCTTTGGTAATCTTGGAACTGATTGAGCAATCGGCTTGGCGTCACCAGTATCAATTTTATTTTTTACAACAGAAGTTTTTTCCTGTTTTCCCTCCTTTTGCTACAAAAATGTGACGATATTGTCGAATAAATTCCTTTATTATCTTTTTCTCTAACTGATCCAGAGATTGACCAACAACTTCAATCATTTGCTAGAATTTGTCATTGTAATTGTCAGAAGTTGTTGTCTAACGAATTATGGAAGTTACTGGTACACAAGTTCCAATTCTGGTCTCTTTCTTAATGGTAATTGGGTTAACGTTTGTAAGACGTACGGGATTTTTTTAGCAGTCGTGTTCAACCTCTTCATCGTCGTTCCAATGTACCATCATGACAGGTGTTCCTTCTTCCACAGTTTCTTAAAGCAGTGCTACTATAATGGTTTCACTTTTGC